AGTACAAGTTCTGAATCACTGTTTACAATCTAGATCATTATATATCAGAGTACAGTCACGTGATCAGTATGACATTAACAATCAGGTATATGACATCTCTCTTTTTCTAAAGGTTATCAATAAGAGATGATAGAATATGAAATTTGAGTATACGGTTTTGATATGGTGAAATCACGTAGTAATCAAGTCATAATAAACAAACCCATGATAATAGATAAATGTTCAATTGTTCAAGGAATGTCTAAAATTAAACATACAATTCGCTAGTTGTCAAATCCGTAACGTTTCACTGGTTTGACAATCCTTCCAGATCGCCGTGTTGTGGGTACACATGCGTCCGTATTCGTAGGAGGACTCATGTCATCCTGTTTGTTCTCTATAGCTAATTCAGCTTGTTCAAGATTTTCCGTCGGTGTTTAATCGGGTTCTGTAGAGAGTGGTGTAGGTAGCTCTTTGGTTTTCATGATGTGCTTTCTATTTCTTCGATATTCTGCACCATCGGCTGTTTGAAGTATATAGCTCCTTGGGGTATGGTGAGAATCCACAATTGTAGCGGGTTTCCAGATAGGTGATTCAGGAGTTTGCTTGAATCTTACGGTGTCCCCTTTTTTTAGGCTCTCTAAGGGTTTTGCTGACCTATCATAGTAGAATTTCTGAGTCACCTGATCATCTTTCCTCTTCATGATGAACTCCTGGTGGTCGATCAGTTTAGGAGTTAGTGTTGAAGGTTTTGCCGGGATATCGGAGCGTAATTTTCTGCCCATTAGTGCTTGTGATGGCGTGACTCCATCAATGGGAGTGTTCCTGTAGTCAAGCAGAGCCAGATACGGGTCTTGACCACTAAGCAGCGTTTTATTCAGAATAGCCTTTGCTGTTTGTACTGCTCTTTCGTGCATCCCGCCCGATTGCGGGTAGTGGGGGCTTGTTGTAGTGTGAGTAAACCCTTAGTCTGATGCGAATTTAGTGAACTCTTGGGACGCGTATTGTGGACCGTTGTCTGATACGATTTCTTCGGGAATTCCGTGTCTACTGAATATAGATTTGCATTTATTGATGACTGTTCGCGATTTAATGTCACGCAATTCAGCAATTTCAGGAAAACGGCTGTAGTAATCAACAATTACTATGTGAGGTTTACCCTTCCATTCAAATAGATCAGTCGCGACCCTTTGCCATGGCCGCTTGGGAAGCTCGTGTGGTTGTAATGGTTCCTTACAGTTGGTCCTCCTTTGCTCCAAGCATGTGGGACATTGCGATATCATATCCTCAATTTCTTTGCTCATCCCACGCCAAAATATGCATTCACGTGCCAGGCGCYTYGTCTTGTTTAGGCCCTGGTGTGCGCGGTGTAACTTAGCCAGTGTTTCTGATCTCAGTTTCGCGGGAATAAGCACATTGTGTGCCTTAAAGACAAGTCCATCTTGTTCAGTTAATTCGTGTCTGTAAGGGTAATATTCTCGAATTTCCAATGGTACCAGATGTCGATTCTCCGGCCAGCCATTCCTTATTTGATTGATCAATATTTGCGTCGTTTCATCTGTGTTTATTTCATTTCGAATCTCGTTCAGCTTGCGATCCGTCACGTAGCCCTCCGTAGACATTAGATGTATGAACTTTTCGGAATCCATTTCTTTCTCGAACTCTTCGTTTACTACGGTAGTAGGAAATGCCCGTGATAACGCGTCTACCAGGTACATTTCAGTCCCTTTCTTGTATACTAGGGTTATATCGTAAGCTTGGAGTTGCATTAGTATCTTTTGCAACCTTGATGGCGCCTGTGATAACGGCTTCGTGAATATTGCTTCTAATGGCTTGTGATCAGATTCAACAAGGACAGATTTTCCGTAAACAAATTGGTGGAAGCGTTTGCAGCCGAATAATACTGCTAGCAGCTCCTTTTTAATTTGCGCATATCGTTTCTGAGTTTCGTTTAATGCCTTTGAAGCATAAGCCACAGGACCATTGTCCTGGATGAGTGCTGCACCGAGCCCATTCTGCGAGGCGTCAACTTGCAAAGTGACAGGTTTAGACACGTCATAGTAGCGTAGAGTTTCCGGTTGCGTGAGCAGAGCCTTGAGATCCGAAAACGC